GTAGGCTCGGGAGGGAGAGGGAGGGCTCGGAGAAGCGGGATGAGGAGGAGGAGGAGGAGGAGGAGGAGGAGGAGTGGGAAGAGCAGGAGGAGGAGGAGGAGAAGGATGAGGAGGAGGAGGAGGAGGAGGAGGAGAAAAAGGATGAGGAGGAGGAGGAGGAGAAGAAGGAGGATCGGCAGCAGGGCCCTCCTGCGGAGGAGAGGGGGGAGAAGGACGGGGGAGGCAGAGATGTTGCGCTCAAGCAGCACGCCCATGTTTACAGCGTCGCGCACAAAGAATGCCAACAATAGCGCTGTTGCATGCCGGAGAGCTTGGTAGAAGCCGCCTAGTCGCCCACAATCCTGCGTGCAGCTTGCACGGCTGGCCGTGTGCAGCCCTGCTCGTGCACAGCGTCCCCACCCTAGGCGCTCAACTGAACAGGGACACAAATACTCCAGCAGCATCTGGATACATCTTCCTGAAAACAGCCAGTAGTGCGGGAGGCAAGGGCGGCGGGCTCGAATGGGACCGTACAGGCACGAATGCTCCTCACTCCTCCACCTCCTCCTCCTCCTCCTCCTCCTCCTCCTCCTCGGCCTCCCCCTCTTCCTCCTCTTCCTCCCCCTCCTCCTCCTCCTCCTCCTCCTCCTCCTCCTCCTCCTCCTCCTCCTCCTCTTCCTCATCATCATCAATGACATCATCATCATCATCATCATCATCATCATCATCATCAGCATCATCATCATCAGCATCATCATCATCATCATCATCAACATCAACATCATCATTATCATCATCAGCAGCAGCATCATCATCATAATCATCATCATCAGCAGCATCATCATCAGCATCATCATCACCATCCCCCATCATCCCCCATCGTCTTCCTCATCATCAGTGTCAGCATTGCGTATTCATCCTCCCACCTCCCTCTCTGCCCAGCACTTCCTTCTCACTCCCGCCTGCATGTACACCCAGGAAGAACTCTACCAGTGGAGCAGTACATGCACAGCATGAGAGGCAGATGCGGCTGCTGCGGGCAGCGCGCCAGCCGAACACCAAGGATATACGGGGCATTGCGCGGATGGGAGGGCGCTATACGTCTGCCTGCCTGCCTCCTCCTCCTCCTCCTCCTCCTCCTCCTCCTCCTCCTCCCCCTCCTGCTCCTCCTCCGCCTCTGCCTCCTCCTCCGCCTCTGCCGCCCCCTCCTCCTCACCCTCGTCCTCCTATTCTTCCTCTTTCTCCTCCTCCTCCTCCTGGTCAAAGTCGTCATCATCGTCATCATTGCCGTGATCATCGTCGTAATCGCCGTCGCCGTAATCAGCGTCATCTCTATCAGCATCGCGGTTATCATGGCCACACGTTTTGATCACAAGCAAACAGTGGTGCCGACATGATGCACCGTCGCCATACATATATGTATACACACAAATACATAGATATACACAAGACTGCATTGGCGCTGCGCGCCATGCACCTTGGTCCTTTGGCATTCGCACGCTAGCGGAGTGCGAGCGTGCGTACATGCGCACACACACATGCATCTATGAATGCATAGTACATATGTACATATATGTATACGTTTGTAAGGACATGTACATGTATATGCAAATGGTCAGTGTAACTATGTGTGCGCATACACATGCGTATATCAGGCGGTAGTGGCCTGACCAGGTGCTCATATCATCGCGCCACTATAAGGCGCGAAGGTCTCAGGCAAACGTGGTCAGACTACCGTGGGACAGTGCGTCGCCGAGGTCAGTGTTGCCAGGACGTCCCGGGTGAAAATGGCCTGAACACCTCCGCTCAGGGGAGGGCATATCCGAAGTCAGCCGGGCGAGGAAGTTTCAAGCGAGGAGTGGTCTGAACACCTCTGCTCAGGGCATCCCTGAACTTAGACTTGCGTGAAGTCGCACGCGAAAGTGCTCCTCGTTCTATTTGTCCTCGTATTCTCCTGTGCCCGTTTCTTTCCCACCCTTCCTCCTGCTTCTCCTCCTGTTTCTCCTCCTGTCCTGTGCCGATTGAGCTGAACCGGAAGAGCTTGAGAGGATGAGTGGAAGGAGGAGGAGGAGGAGGAGGAGGAGGAGGGGGAGGGGGAGGAGGAGGAGGAGGAGGATGAAGACGAGGAAGAGGATGGGGACGAGGACAACGACGACGACGAAGAAGGCGACGACAAAGAGAAGGGATAATGAGAGGAGGAGACCGCCGTGTTGGGAACTCGTGGTACGCCTCTCGGGGCTGGGAGGCAGTTTTGAAGCCTCTTGGGGGCTGTTTGTGGGCCTCTTGGGATCTTTTTGGGGCCTCTTGGGGACCTCTTGGGGGCTCGTTGGGGCCTCTGGGGAGCCTCTTGGGGCCTCATGGGGCCCTCTTGGGGCCTCTCGGGGCCCTCCCGCGGCGGAAAACTCAGTTTTGAATTTTTGGGCGCCCTCTTGGGCCTCTCTTGGGGCCGTCTTGGTGCTCTCTTGGGCCGCTTTGGGCGCCTCTTGGGCGGTCTCGGAGCCCTCTTGGACCGTGTTGGGGC